TTTACTTGTGCCACTTTTGTGCCTTTTTGCCCATTTCCAGGGCTTGTAAATTAACAAACTTGTCCTACAGATTTAATCAGATTGGCTCCAAACTTGGTGTATGTAAGTGTGACTATGTTGTGACCAAAAGTTATCACAGGATTTACCCAATGTTGAATGGCGCGCCCGCAGCCGAGCATTGACTCTTGAGGTCTCGCCAGGAAAAACTAAATTGCTGTAGCTTTGGCAGAAATGGTCCAATCTCCACCAAACGTCACATTATTCATATTAGTCCTTCCCTGAAGACATTTATATGACCATATTTCCTGATACTCATAGTGCCACCTAGTGGCAACAGGAAGTAGGTCTCATCAAACAGTTATCTTTTGATTTATCTGAAAGTTAAATGCTGTGGTGTATATTTGATGTATAAAAACATGATGTATAATTAGTGCACTCTCCAACTCCCTCTAGTGGAAAGAGGAAGTGATACAAAATGTGAAATATGTCATTCCAGCACTGTATCAAGGATATGCAAAGTCACTCCTGCATGTGATGTCTAACTTTGACAGAAATTAAGTGACGCATCAGAAGGCATCCTGCCAGCCCCCCCCCCGGGTTATGTGAAGGTGCGAGGGCCCATTCATCGTTGCTTGCAGCTGTAATTATTCTTTATGCTTTTTTCTGCCGTCTCTTTGAACCCCAATTTGACTCCCAAACATGCTCAAAAACTCACCAAAATTGACATGCATGTCAGGACTGGAGAAAAATTTGATAAAATGTAATAATTAACCCCTAAAGTGCCAAAATGGGCTCTCTAGCGCCACCTAGACACACAAAAATGCCCGCTGCGGCCCATAGGAATGTCATAGAAAGACAAAACTAAAACTGGCTTGTTCGTCTCATCAAGACCTACAAATCATGCGCCGACACCCCTGACCTAAATCCAACAGGAAGTGAGCTATTTGCCCTTTCAATGTAAGATGCCGTTTTACAAAAATTCTTTCTCAAAAAATATCTACTCCTACACCATTTATTGTATCGACTTCAACAGCTACACATTATATATCAGTGTTTTCCATCTCCCACATACTACTACAGCCTTTATTACTGATAATATCATTGCTACTTTTGTGATTATGACTGTTAAATACATATTGTAATGTTCTGTAATCTATTTGTGTCTGCCTACATCAATCAAGCTTTCACTAGGTCACATGATTTCAAATAAATATGGATGTGTTGTTTGATCATCACACATGTCAAAGTTTCATTAGGTCACATGGCTTATGTCTACAACTTTCAAAATATAAGCTCACACCACCTTCATAAGAACCCTTTACTTTTTAAAAATGAACTTGAAAATGAGCGCAATCATTTGTTGTACACCCAAGCTCTTATGGGCCCTAGGCGTTTTTGGGGTATTTTTACTGCCTTTACTTTTAAGCTCATATCACAGTCATTATAAAGGCTACATACACATGCTATATCTTGTTTTTTTTTTTCAGGACAATCTGGGCTAAGCAGATTTGCCATCATTTCATGTCCTTCTATGTGCCTATATTTTATATTAATGTTTATATCAATGAAAAAACAAATCTGTGTGACTAAATTCTTACATTTTTACATGTATCTCAGCATAGCAAGTTGGAAAAAGACATATTCTGCCATATATGAAAAGGGGAGACTCTCTGGAATCTGGCAATATAAGACCCATGATGGTGGGACATTCTGTCACTTCACAGTTATCCAAAACATGTGGTTTGTGCCAGGCGGACATGATTGCCAGTATTTTTTCATTATTGCAAGAAATTCCATTGACTCATTCACAAGTCAAAAATGTGTTTTCTCTGAAAGAAACATGCAATATTTACATCTAAGATAATAGAAAAATAGTCAACCAAGTGCAATGATGTCCTCCAAGATAATAGTTGCCACTTTGTTTGCAGTAAACAAAGTTTGTTGTTGTTTTTCAGTTTCAGTTATATACTGGGGGGACATTTTGGGCATTGGAGGGGGGGGCATGTCCCCCTCAATGTATATGGTGACTACGGCCCTGTCATGCATGCATAATTAGGCTACAGTTGTCTGGGTGCGCAAAGGTGAAGTACGTTGGTCTTGTCATACAAAGTTTGATGGAGTGTCAACTGGACAATATGGAGATATTTGCATCTTGAAAGCCAGACTACAAATGTGGATAGACAGGGAGAAACACAAGCAAGCCTAAGACGTGGTAAGATACGATATTCCTCACTATATCAAGTGACTGATAACAAGATGGATTGTAAAGAAATTCGTCAGGTTTTTATTTTGTAGACAATCAATCTGTATTTATAGCGTGATGGGATGACAGCACAATGATGTGTGTGGTATCACTGGAAAGCTCTAGTGCTGCGCTTTCATGTGATATCGTGACATTTCTGTGCAACCCTGCATTCACGAGTAATCCATCTAAGAGTAATGTGTTGCAAAGCTGCATGGAAGTCCTGTTATACATAATTTTTAGTGTAACTTTATCATTTTTTTCGTTGTGAAAACATTGGACTACCGACAAGTGCTTGATCTTGTCGGAAAGCTACGATTCCGCTGTTTCACGTGATATGGCTTCTCGCACGGTCAGAGAAGAACAGGTGTGAATTTGGATGCACTATGCGTCATTCAGGCCCATAGGGTTAACAGGTTAAGAGGTTTTAAATTACTTTAAAAATGACCTTAAAAGTATTTCCATTAATTTTCATCAATATTACTTCTCTGAACCCAACTGGATGACCTGGAGGGTTACAGCAAATTACCTCATTTCAAGTACAAGTCCAGAGTGTTACAAACATCAGGAAAGTATACACATCTTTGAGGAAATGTTACACTCCAAAATTACAAGCTCCTTTGTTTAATCACCATTTTAGTCTTTGTAAAAATTGTTTTCTTTTATGATTCACTCTCCTTTATAATTCATGTTTTATCCATGTTAATATTTGTTATCCTGTTAAAATGTATATTATGTATTTATATATTCATGTACTTACACAACAAACCAGGAGTACTGTCACCACATGTCAGACCTGGCGAAAAAAAGTATAAAATGAAAAAATTAACCCCTAAAGTGCCAAAATGGGCTCTCTAGCGCCACCTAGACACACTAACTGCGGCCCGTAGGAATGTCGTAGAAAGATCAAACCAAAACTAGCTTGTTTGTCTCATGAAGACCTACAAATCACGCGCTGACACCCCTGACCTTAATCCAACAGGAAGTGAGCTAGTGCCCCCCTGGAGAGGGTTCTATAACTGTCTACGTGAGCTGAAGGCCGTAACGGCGTGAGTCCGAGGTCCCGCCCAACGCTGCTCACAGCTTTAATTATTATTATTCTTTCTCCCACCGTCTCCCAAAACCTCGAACGGTTTGGATTTTATGGGCTCTTAAAGGTGACGTGCCACAAAACCTCCTGACGATCTCCGTGCCATCTAGACACACTACAATGGCCACTGCGGCCCGTAGGAATGTCATAGAAAGATCAAACCAAAACGGCTTCTTAATGTCAAGACCTACAAATCACGCGCTGACATCCCTGACCTAAATCCAACAGGAAGTGAGCTAGTGCCTCTGAAAGTAACGAGCAAATGTGTCAGTTGTGAGCTAGACATCTTAAACTTGCAACAAAAATCGCATTTTTGACTCCACAAACATGAAACCTATATGTCTACATTCGGGAAAAGTGTATCTCTCTGCTGGTATGGTCAGATTGACGATTGGACCCACGGTTTGGGAATAACAGGGAAGAGTTCGAAACATTTTAAAGTCATCTCCATCTGCCTGCTCTCACAAAGCTTGTCTCTCCCTCTCAGTGATGGACTCAGGATGTTTGAAGGGCAGGGGCGAAAAGGAAAAAAGGGCACCTACTGCATGACATGGGGCCCCATTGATGCTCAAAAAAACAAAATTTGACCCCCTAAACATTCTCAAAAACTCACCAAAATTGACACACATGTCAGGACTAGCAAAAAATTTGCTAAAATTAAAAAAGTGCCAAAATGGGCTCTCTAGCGCCACCTAGACACACTATAATGGCCACTACAGCCCGTAGGAATGTCGTAGAATGATCAAATCAAAACTGAGAGGGGATGACATGCAGCAAAGGGCCACAGGCTGGACTCGAACCCGGGCCGCTGCGGCAACAGCCTTGTACATGGGGCGCCTGCTCTACCACTAAGCCACTGACACCCCTATTTGCAGTTTTATTTATTTTTTATTAGGTTTTTACTGTCTGGCAGGTTAACTCGTATCTTGGTTCTCTGATAACTTAAGATCCAGACGTTTATGAGGTTTTCCCCTGGTGCTTAACCATCTGCAGAGGTCTCCCCCTCCCCAAAACAAACTGACTTAGCAATCAAAAATGGGAAAAAGATTAAATAAAGCAATTTCTTGTTAAGAAAATCAATGTTCTTCATCACAAACGGGCTGCTAACTACGGTGGCAAACGCAAAAAAAAAATCCACTAAAAAACTAATCAAAAGATTGACAGTTTGATCCCCTGGTCCTCCAGTCTGCATGTCAAAGTATCCTTGGGCAAGATACTGAACCCCAAATGGCTCCCGACGGCTGTTCCATCAGTGTGTGAGTGCGAGTGAATGGTTACTTGAGTAGCAGCTGGCACCTTGTATGGTAGCCTGGCCACCAGTGTGTGATTGTGTCTGTGAATGTGTGACATGTAGTGTAAAAGTGCTTTGAGTGGTTGGAAAACTAGAAAAGTGCTATACAAGTACAGTCCATTTGCCATTCACCGTAGAAGCAGGCCCACTGTGTATCTTCCTGAGACTGTCAGCTACCTACCTTTCACTGAGAATATCCCTCATTCAGATACTTTGAATGATAAACAATGAAAGAGAGTGAAAAGTCAAGGTATAATCCACATGATGTAGAACAACTAAAATACATATAAAAGTGCTTTATAAGTTTTTTGTTCTCTTCTGATAGCTACTACTACTTCTTCTCTTCTTTAGTAACCAAATCTTTCTGTATGTATATTAGGCAGGGTTGAGGAATATCGAGGAAGAGGCAGCTCCAGAGCTTCACAGGGCCATCTCCGGAGACCTTGTGCCTGAAGAAGAGATGGAGCGAGCTATTGAAGAAGCTGCTGTGGAGGGCGTCTTCAGGGTAACAGGACAGAATGAAAAGATGAATGGATAGGTGGAGGGAGTGAGGAAAGGAAGTGTGGAAGGACTGTGGCTCAGAGAAGAGTGGGTCGTCCACTAATCGGAAGATCTGTCTCTGTGGAAGTATTCTTTAGCAAGATACTGAACCCCAAATTGCTTCCACTGGCTGATCCATTGGTGTGAGTGTGTTTAAAAAAAACTGAATAGCAGGTGGCATCTTGTATAGTAGCCTTGGTCACCAGTGTATGAATGTTTGTGTGAATGGCTGAATGTGACTCGTAGTATAAAAAGCGCTTTGAGATTTCAGATGACTAGAAAGGCACTATTCAAGTGCAGGTCCATTTATATAGGCTAGGGTTTAACAAACAGCCTTCCCTGTCTTCACTCAAACAGTAGTCTAGGAGATAATAATAATAAAAAATATATATACAGTATATCAAGGAAATATAAGATAAGGGAGTATATTTGTACTACCCTGATGTCTGCATCAGATAAGTATATCCCTTGTTCTAACAACGGATGTACAGACCATGGGAGGAGATTACTTAACCTCATTATTCAGGCTGTAATAAAGCCTGGCCATAACTCCTGTTAAGCTTTCGCTGGGAAGAGGAGCTGAACCCACAATGCAGACAGAAGACAGGAGTAAGAGTTAACTGGTTTATTATCCAGAAAACGGCAGTAAAGCAGGAGTGTAGATGAGGGGAACTCAAAGCTGGGCCAAGTGAGTCGTTGCATGTCCAGGTGGAGAGGATCCGAGCAGATGAAAAGGCTGGGGCTGAGCGTGGAAGATGAAAACAGGCCGGGCACTGAGAGGACGACAAAATAAAGAGTCAGGAAAAGCATACAAAAATCTAGAGTCAAAAAAATTCTTGAGAATTTGGCCAAGAAGTTACCACTTAACAATTCAAATACATCATACTGACAGTCTCAATACTAGGGTGTCATGTTTTTCTATTATGTTGTATTGACGTATTTAACATACTGCATGTGTCAGTTATATATATAGGCTGCAGTAACTCTGCTGTTTTCTGTTTTGAAACAGAGACAAGGTAGTCTCTTTGGAAACCACTCAGACCCGTTTTCTGTGGAAAGTGAGATGGCCAATGCCAACCAAGCCACGAACCAGCGCCCTCTGCAAATGGCAGAAGGAGTCATCAACAACAACATAAATATCACCAACAGCAGCACAAGTCACAGGTCTGTTTGCTCATGTGTATGTTTGGGTGTATTCTCTTTATTTTGATGGAACCTCAAGTGTATGGCATTATTGGGAAGCTGTGGCTCAGCAGATAGAGCAGATCATCCACTGATCAGAAGACAGGCAGTTCTATCCCCAGCTTCTCCAGTCCGCGTGCTTAAGTATCCTTGAGCAAGATACTGAGCCCCAAATAGCTCCAGATGGCTGTTCAATTGGTGTTTGAAAGTTTATAATGAGTAGCAGTTGGCATCTTGTATAGCAGCCACAGCCACCAGTGTGTGAATGGGTGAATGTTACAAGTAATGTGAATGCACTTTGAGTGGTTGAATGACTGGTCCATCCATTCCATTTACCACATTGTTTTTTTTTCTTTTATCCTTTTTTATTGTGCACTCCAAAGAGATGTATTTCTGTATATTGTTTCACAAAATTAGACAATATAGTACAGTGTTGGTGTTGTTAGAACTGAACACAATACCCAGTAAAAGTAAAGCAAAACCTGTCCTTGATGTAAAAAGACTAAGGGCGATAAATTACTGTTTGGGGCTCCAAAATTGCATTATTTTTTAATTTAGAGAGTATTTATTCAGAGCCAAGATCATCTGATTTACATAAAGTGACACTTGTAATACCTGTTGATGCACTCTTTTGATGTATGTGCACATATCTGGAAATTAATGGAGCGCAGAGTGTTTTTTGCAGCTGAACTGTCAATATGGACAGCAGAGTAAAGATTCCTGTGAATGTAATCCAATTAATCATATTTCCACATGCATTTTGTGTCTACTCTGTGTTAAGACCTTATTTTCTTATTTTGAAAAGTAGAGGTAGTCACGTTTGTCCTGGGCTGAAAAATGCCCTCCAACGAATGATTAGAGAAAAGTCAAATCAAACATTTAATGAAGAAATTACTGCAAGGCATTATATCATACCATCATATCATGAGTGAACAAATATTTATATATATTTTTTATTTATTCATACAATCATGAGGGCTACTTTAATCAAATATTGGTCATATTGTGTGCTGAACAGAGATAGTGTAAAGAGTATATGGCAGTCATACCCCTCTCCAAAATGCTATCTTAAAATGATTGGTACCAATGGATGCCTCAGGTCCTCTAGTTTAATATGATACCAGTGTCTTCCCTGTAGTTTTAAAACTGAGCCCGCTACAGCAGGTTTTACAGATGCAGCCACTTCAAATTTCTGTTTGGCCCGTGGTAGAACCCTGACCGATCCGTGACAAGTCCCTGTTGTCACCTGGCCGGGCTGGTAGCTCTAATGAGATCCCCCACAATGACGTAGAGAATACGGGGCCGACTGGAAACGCCCCTAAGTTTCATTTGTAGAAACCAGTTGCAATGGTCTGTCTATCCACCAGGAGGAGCAATGAGTGGGTAAGCTGAAGTGGTTTACTGGACCTCTTATTACTGTAATCGTGGGAGAGAGCTACCTCATAAAAGTGACATTTTACAACTCTTCATATTATAAACCAAAAAAATTTTTTTGTCTCTTAATTAATGTTAATGTTATTTTAAAATTTAAGTCTCTTAATGGGCAACTTTTTCAAAATGATTTAAGTAATTATTTTCAAAATGTTTCTCATTATTCTGAGAGACTAAGTCAATATTTTTAGATAGGGGAGACTTGGGCCAATTATAACAAAATTTTAGGTTTTCCTTAATAACTAATGTGTTTATAACACTGATGCTGCAGCAGATAAAGGTGGTCATTTTAATAACTTAAATACAGCTGGGTGGCTTATTGTAACCTGTAATAATATAACCTAGCAACAAATTTATATTATTGTACAAAAGTACTGTAACTAAGAGGCCAACCTAAGTCTTTAAAATACAAGTAGTGCAATAAAAGTGCAATATTCACATCTGAGACAGTGGAGTAGATTAATAATGTAGCAAAGAATGGAAATACTACTAGGTAAAGTACAAGCACCTCTAAATCTTTGAGAGTTTTTGTGTTTCTGTGAGGGAAGCGCCATCTCATGGTGACACCTTGTAATTGAATAAATGGGCGTTGGCAGGCTTCCGGAAGGCTTTCGGAAGGCCTGGGAAATTTGAAGTGGCTGCATCTGTATTTGCTAACATTAGTCTGCCCAACTCCTCACTTTTACCTCAGCCTGAAATACCTGCTGCTTTTTTACATTTTTTCCAGACATTTGGTCATCATCTCTCTTTTCCTTTAATTTTTTTGTTCTCTCTGTACCCTAGCTTTTTTTTTAGGAGTCCCTGAGTTTTGGTGCGGCATTCTGACTTAGCAAATCAGGCTGCAGTCTGGCTCACTTTTACATCAGCAACGCCTGTGAGTTCTGTGCATCATGCATCTGACTCCCCTGACTGCACCATTTCACAATACCTGCTGGGGTGGGAGTATCAGATGGCACACTGAAATGTGTTTTAATGATAAGAACACATTTATTTATCATGTAAATACATATAACATATAACTTTAAGGGTCAACCATAGACCTTTTCATGGGCTCCCCTTGAGCTGGGGTCATCTGTACCCTTTGACCTCCCCTGACAGTGGGCCTGTGTCAGATTATGGTGTGTCCAACATTACTCTTTAATTTCAGACACAGTTCCATCTGCTGCAAGGGTCAGTTTGCAGTGATAAATTAGACTAAGGGCCAGAGATGGGGACTTGAGTCATTGTGACTTGGACTCAAGTCGACTCGAGTCGCTGTTTTGATGACTTGTGACTTGACTTGACAAAAAATAAAAGACTTGAGACTTGACTCGGACTTGGAAGTTAAAGACTCGGGACTTAACTTGACTTGAGACACGATGACTTGAATGACTTGAGTGTTATTCACATCATGTTTTCGGTTAGAACAGGGGTAGGCAGTCTGTGGCTCCGGAGCCACATGTGGCTCTTTAGTCCTTGTCCAGTGGCTCCTTGAGCCTTTGAGAAAAGAATTCTATGGAAATTCATTCTATGAACGGTTTGGTGGAACTTGTTTTTTAATTTATTTGCTAACATTAACCCCAGAAAACGTGAGCAAACATTCCGACCAATCAGAAGACCGGCTGTACGTTTTATGAACGAGCAACACAGGGTTAAATGAGCTAAATAGGTAATTTTGGCCGCTGCCTTGGTTAGTGTGTGTGTGTGTGTGTGTGTGTGTGTGCGCACGCATGGGGGTCACCCCTGCAAAGTAAACATTGCAGCAATTAAGTCAGTGTTTACTGACAGTTACTTATATCTTTTCTTTTCACTTTATTAAGATCAGATTCTGCAGATAAAATTACAATAATAAGGTGACTTGACTTGGACTTGACTTGACCTATTACAGGACTTGACTTGACTTGACTTGACATAACCTGTGACTTGACTTGACTTGACTTGACCAAGAAAAAATGACTTGGGACTTACTTGAGACTTGAAGGTTAAGACTTGAGACTTACTTGAGACTTGCACATGTGTGACTTGGTCCCATCTCTGCTAAGGGCTCTAGTTTCCCGGCGCAGCGCAGGATGGTGCAGGGTGGCGAACCCTGCGCAGAGCTAGTTTCGAGCAGCGCAACCCAAGGCGCGCTCAGTTTGGTAGTTTGGCAGACCGAGGTGCGCTGAGATGGGTGTGGCGGTGCAGCAGGGGGAGGTTAATCAATTAATCAATCAATTTTATTTATAAAGCCCAATATCACAAATCACAATTTGCCTCACAGGGCTTTACAGCATACAACATCCCTCTGTCCTTAGGACCCTCGCAGCGGATAAGGAAAAACTCCCAAAAAAAAAACCTTTAACGGGGGAAAAAAATGGTAGAAGCCTCAGGAAGAGCAACTGAGGAGGGATCCCTCTTCCAGGACGGACAGACGTGCAATAGATGTCGTACAGAACAGATCAGCATAATAAATTAACAGTAATCCGTATGACACAATGAGACAGAAAGAGAGACAGAGAGAGAGAGAGAGAGAGAGAGAGAGAGA